GTATCTTGTCTATTTCTTTCATCTGAATTGCTGCTTTCCCTTGCGTTATTCTCATCATATTTTTCCTCATCTTGGAAATGAACGTTTCGTTTAAACTTTTCTCCTCTTTCTGGCGTTTTGCTTCTTCTTCGAGGACTAAAAAAAGCAAAAGAGGTAATAATAAACACGTGATGTGAAGCCTTCTCCCTCCTTCTCTTCACTCTCGTGGAGGATGTTTCAGAGATGATTCAAAACGACGCAGCATAAACGAAAATATCCCCTTCCACCCACTGAGAGACGTGCACCCACTGAGAGACGTGTTCGAGACAGCCTCGAATGGCTGCTTTGTGCACTTTGCCGATTGCGTCGTAGCGCATTACTGATTGGTTGATACATTCCCTTGAGGTTTCTCAGCCAATCAGATATCTTTAAGGATCTACACGTCAAAAAGGTGTGGAAAAGAAGCTTGGTAGAAAATAAAGGAATTCTGACCTTCGTTTAGATTTCATTGTATCGTGATTGTTATCATCCACAGGCTTCAAAGCAGAGCTGATTTCTTCCTTTTCATTATAAAGTACATCTGATGGTGTATTTTCGTCTTGGCGAGAACTCGATGACTGATTGTTGTTTTTATCAAGTTGTATAGCAGCACTTGGTAGCCTGCCAAAAAATTCATAAAGAAGTCAGTCTACGTCAATTTCTCAAAATCCGCTTTTCATCCGCTTTCCATCGCTTCCTATTGGTAATGCCAACAGGGGGCAGTTCTTCATCAGTTCTGGGTAAGATCACGGATCGAATTGGACGACAAAAATATCGCAATTTCCGAGAAAAATTGTAATTATTGGAAGATTGGCTTCCAACTTTCAAACTGAAGAACCGTGGACATAAGTCCTATGAACGAAATCCCTCCGCTTTGGTACTTCCCCAGCTTTGGATGAGAATTTTGTCTTTGTCATGGTTAATGTAATGGAGGCGGTGATTGGTGGACTCATTTAAGTGTACTCAGTGTTATCAACTGATATAACTGTCCGAATACAATTCGAAAGAACAATCGGTTGAAAGAAAAAGACCAACAACAACAGCATCAACAACAGAAGAACCGGTCATCCACCAATCACATTTTGGGAAATAGCACTGGTTGTAATTATGATAGTTGTAATACATCAAGCCAGTGTGTCTATATCACCTGGTCTCAGGATCAATGGTAGCAGTTTCAGGAGTAGATCTGGGCAGTACTTCAGCAAGAGCTGCTCTCATAGGAGGAGGTCGGTGACGCACGGGGAGCTTGGGCCCTGGCTCTGAGGAATTAAGGTAGTTAAGAAGACGAGTTAAGTTTGTATATATTATATATAGGTTATATATTTAATATTATTGGCTCAGAGTAGAGCATCAGTGCGCGGAATCCGAAGGTCTGAGGTTCGATTCCTCATGAGGGACTTGATCGAAAGAAATGTACAAAAGCATTTGTTAAAAAATATGACAGGAATGATGACGTTTGCAATCCTTATGATTATAGCAGGAGTAGTTTGAGTTCGCTATTTCCAGGGCTAAAAGCTCCATTAAAAGCAGATTCCTACCACGGGGTAAACATTTTCTTCATTGCTCTCAGTTTTGTTGCTTTTTGGCATTCCCAACTATGTACGTCGGTGATGTAAACTTCTTTCTTCCCACTTTGACATCGATTTGGAATATTAAACGAACTGTTCTTAAGTCAGAAGAAATCAAAATTGCCTTTGCGGGGATGAAACAGAAATCCAGGACACCATGTATCAAGTTACCTTCTTCCGTCGCCTTAGCAGTTTTGCGCAGCAAAGGTTTTTTCGGTCTTGACTCCTCTTCTTCTTTCGCCTGTGAAAAGATTTTAAGTTCTCAAAATGAATGTTAATTTTTATTTTGTGGGACTTACTAGCAGAGCTGAATAGCGAAATGCTACGTAACAAGTAAGCGGTCAATAACGCGGGCTCAAGTGTACGAGGTTGAAAAATCAGCGAAATTTGAGGAAAAAAAGGGCTGGCATTTAAAACCGAGGCATCTTGTTGTCGTTGAGGGCCTTTTCCTACTTCCAATGTCTTTAGAGGAAATTAATTTTTGAAAATATTTAGGGGATGTAAAGATTTTTTGAAAGTTTTCTGTAATAAGAAGCGGCAAGGGAAACATCACCTGGAAGTTCGTTATTCAGCTCTGTCAGACTTACTAACACCCTGGTAAAGTCACACACAGCTAATGTATCTCCACATTGTTTCACTGGGGTATATCTCACCTTCGCTTGTTCCTCTTCTCTCCACTGTTGCAATCGATAGTGTTCTAAAAGCTTCACCTCTTCTTGTAGTTCTTTGTTCTGTTCTTCCAAGACCTCGATCTTTTGGCGGGAACGTGTAGAAGCCGCTGACCAGCGAGATTCGCGTCGCTTAAGTTCTTCTTGCAAATCTGCCATCTATTGAGAGGGGTATGGTAGTTTAAAGTAGTCAATTTTTGCCACCGTTCATTTATCCATGATAAAAACCAGCGAGAGAACAATTGGTTTGTTCCAGTCTACGTTTGTCATATTAGACATGAGACAGCTCAATTCCTTTACCGTTCTTTGTTCAAGGCTGCATAAACAAAACTTATTTTTACAGAATAACGTTTTTACCTGTTCTCGTAAACTCTCGATCTCTTCGCGTTCTTTCTTGTCTGGCATTGAACGGGCAGCTTTCTGATACTTTTCAAACACTCGTCTTTCGCGGCTAAAATGCACAAGTTGTAAGATTGAATTTATGGTATCTTGATCCGAAGACACTTTGTGATTAAAGTATACTAGGCACTACTTAAACCTAATTGATGATCCAAACTTGATGGAAAGCTCATATACGAGTTATATGATCGATCAGTAAACTTATGACAAATCCTTCACCTGGCATATGAATGGTTTAGAGGCTGTGAGCAAGCGAAGTAACAAAGGAAAGTGAGAAAAGCACATGGAAATTCCTTTGCAAAAAGTGCCCTGCATCACATCGATAAAACCGCTGCAATGACTTGAGAAGCTTACCTAAATTTCAGTTAGCCTCAACAAGCATTAACAAGCACACGAACGGGCGAGCTAACGAGAATCTTGTGTTTAATCCAGTGGTAGCTGTCTCGAATCTTGAAATCACGCTTGTTACCGGTTGTTAACTAGTCATGAACCGGAGCGAAATAATAAACAGCGGAGGAGTTGCTGAGGAGTGAAAAAAACGAGAGGAGCTTGGGTCGGGTCAGGTAACCCGAACCAAACCTCACTCGTCTTTTCACTCCTCCGCTACTATCTCGCCGTTTACCATCGCGCTTTGTTTTAATAACTTAACGCCTGAAAGAGACCAGTTATGAACACATACCGTAACTTTCGCATCTCTTCCTCCCTAAACTGCTCTAATCGTTCGAGTTCATCTGTTTTCTGTTTCTCAAACGCAGCTATTTCCGCTTGCAGCTTTTTCAAGCCCTGTAAAATATGACTGTTTGATCAGCATGTAACGGATACAAACACCAAAAGTTAAGAATAAATTTTGCAGTGCGTCATTTAACATGGGAAAATTGGAAAATAATTTTCATCGAACGATACACTAACGTCGCAAACTTTGACAATGGCAATGTAATTCGAATTATTTTATCTCTTGGTTAGTGCATGCGCTACGATTGGTCGATTTAGCGAACCACATATTTCTGCATGGCCCGCTAATTCAAAAATGTATGAATAATTTCGTTTTCTTTATCCGTGCTGAAATTTACAAAACCGAGTTTTTCTCTACTCGGATTTCTGGCCCGCGCGCCTCGCCCCTGGGCCTTAAATCCGAGCCGAAAAAAAATCGTTCTTCAACTTACAGGATGGACCTCGAACTCGGTTAGCAAAAGGTACGTATACCGCATAATAAATAAATAACAAATTGTTCCCACACCTCTTCCCGCTCTTTTCTAATTTTGGCCAGAGCTGCATTCTCAGTCCTGAACTTTTCAATCTCTGCTTCCAATTCTTTGAGCTTCTCCCTGACCGCAGCACTCTGAACCGTGTCTACAGGCTCTTCCTCCTGCCCCTGGGCCTTAGGAACATCACTTGTGGCTTGTTTGGCGACAGCCGGCTTTGGTGACACAACGATAAAGATCATTGAAATTGTTTTTCGCTTGAAATCGATGAAGTCCATCTCCGAGCATAATTGTTCACGCCAAAAGCTATTCGAGGGTCTGAGATAGACCATTCGACCGGCGGGAATTGAAAGTCTCAAGTTCATGCAATCAGTTCTTTAATTACTTACGGGAAGGAATCTTGATCGAATCAGGTGAAGTATCTCGATTATTTTATGAGTTTTCGAGTACAATATACCAATCTGTGGTTGCCAGTATTGCTTAGCTGCAATTCTTTTGAACAGGTTTTACATAAAAAAAGGTGAAAACAAGCACCAGGATATATCGAGAGATATATCACGGAGACAAGTCGCAGCGAAAAACGTATAACGTAGAACTTTTTAAAAAGAACCTTCATACTTGTGCCAGAATTTTTTTTCCAAAAGAGGTCGCTCAAATGCACTGTAAGCGAATAATTCAGCCATAAAATCACTGTTTTTGTATTGTTTTGGAAGCAGTGCTAACAAGGCAGTTTTTCTCAAAGATCTGACCAAACAACTTATCGCTTCGTGAGGCCAGGCCTTGAAAGTTACAAATCGGTACAGGAATAATACAGAGGGCTTTTTGCTTATGTTCATGACACGAATTAACACTGAATAACTTACAGCAGCTTTCTGCTTCGGCTTCAGCTGGGGAAACAGCTTGGTAACAAGCGTTGATGTTGGTGGGGTCGACGCAGCCAGCATCCGTTCAGCCTCAATTGCATCTGCTACTTGGCTCTTTGGAGGCTGACCCCTCTTTAGGGCAACAGGCGGAGTGGAGGTTACAAGAGGGAATATGTCACTGATTGTCACATCACTGTCATCCTCATCATCGTCGTCGTCATCGGAGTCGACTTCTCCTCCCTTCTCCTCATTCTCAAAGTCTGTGCCTGCCTGTTTCTTTATTGCAGCCCACGTGTCTTCGTCATTAAACTCGTTGTCACTCTCAGTCGAGGGAGGATTGAGGTAAGCTGGGGCCAAGACTGTAAGAAAATTGGAATGTCACAAAGGAGTGACTCAGTCTTGGAGTATGACCTCTAAACGTTCATCAAATTCAATTAATTGAATGATCCTCACGTGTGAGCTGTTTTTTAATCAATTCTGGAATCAGACTCCTATACGGGAACGACAAACCCAACATATAGCTTCAAAGCCCAGTTAATAGTGGTGCAAATCTAAAATTTTTACCTTTTTGCAGGTCTCCAGCTGCTTGTCTCTTTTCACCTTGACCAGAATCAAGTTCCAAGGCACTGTCTAAACTCATCTCCTGTAGAGTCACATCACTATCGTCATCTTCACTCTCTGTTACGGAATATAAACGGGATAACATCACCATCTTATTCCCTGTTCTGACACAGGGTCACCACTCTTTCTGCAGTGTCATTAACAACAATATTTTGACGGAGATCTGAGTCGGGAAGAGACCTTCATGCGACCAAAGCGACAAGTAATGTTCTTCTTGACTGGGTCAGAGAGAAAAATGTGGCTCGAGGTTATGATGTACGGACCTCGCGCACCAAGAAACAAATATTTTACCGTCAAGCCTCACGTAACATTTTATCAGATAATCTTTGCTCTTCGTTTCCTTCCTTTCTCCTTTTGGTTCGCAGCTCGCGCGTCCGTGCGGCTTTTTCCGGCCCTGCTCACGAAATCTCGTCCAGCCCTGATAAACGAATTCTTGTCTACTGTTTTTCAATAAAAGTGCGTCCGATAAGATCCATTACTTTTAACTTACCATTTGCATGAGGTTCTCTCAATTCTACCACGGGTAGTGGTCTTGACTCATCAATTGACACAGCCCCTTTACCATCCCCACTGCCATAACCTGTGTCAACAGGGCTCAGAATTCCTCCTGCACCTGCAAAAAACATATCACCGGGAGCTAAGCGACTCAAGTTTCTGATTGTCTCTCGAACGAAAACACTCTTTTTGTTTAAAACTGGAAATCACACCCACATACATAACTTTCTGTACTGATCTGCTACCTCTGTTTTCGGGCTTGTTCCCAGCTCCTCGCATTGTGTTATTTTTACTGATCTGTGCACTTCCTCCTCTGGCTTTGGCCAACACTTTGACAACTACTGAGGAGTTGGATGAAAAGGAAGCATTTGCTGCCGCTTGTTCTAGGAGCTCAAATTCTTCAAGTTCTTCTTCTTCCAACTAAATTAGTGCAACAAAGAGAAGTCAAAACTAAGAGGGAGTCCTAACTAGAGACTTATTTTAAATACAATACAGTTATCACCAACATTATCGTTATCAAGAAAACATTATCAAAAGTAATATTACAATTATTATCATTTTTATAAACCATTACCCTCCGGCATGCTTGTTGAGACAGGTTGAAATCGACCAGCGGCTTGTGTAAGAACCGACTCAAACTGGGAACGCATCATCTTAATTCGAGAACGAATCAACTGAGTATGATTTGTAAATTTTGTGATTTGTTGTAGTTATACTTGAATTTTTCAGATGGCGCAATCCGCAGAGCTCGAGTCATTTCGTCCCATCTCTTATCGTGAAACTCAGAAAACCATAAATAAAAGAGATATAAAATTTTCCTCGCAACAAGGAAAAACTCAGCTAGGCGTGAGAAAGCAATAAAAAGCAGATAACAAAAAAAGGAAAATAATGAGTATGAAACGTCCATGAGTACCAAAACGACTACATACCACCATTATCATTGTTATCGCCATTATCATTGTTAAGGTATCAAGGTATAATGTACATGTACAAAATTGACTCTTTACCTCTTGTTTTTCTTCTAATTCCTTCAGTCTCATTTGGAACGATGCATCAATACTGTTAAACACAGAAGGTGGATTACTCTCCTCTGGTTCATCAGAAATGACACTGCGAAGCATACACATCCAATGAAGTTGACAAATTAGTAAAGGGGATACGTTTCTAAAGAAACTGTGGTGCTGCGTCGGTGGGAGAGCATAACAAGGAAATTATTATTTTGGTATTATTAACTGAGTTGATGACTTAAATTGGCCATGTCATTTGCTCTGACGAAGGGCTGACGCTCGAAACGTCAGCTTTTAAACTCTTTACGGTGGCCCAGTTAACGATATCAACTCAGTTGACAATACCAAATTACAATGAAGATGACATTTGATACAGTACAATTCAGTTGCATACAGTGCTCCAAGCTGGGGCAGGTTTGGATTTCGACATCAACTAACTTTGCTGCAAAAGTTTCCAATTAGACGAAACAGCCGACAGCTTAACTTAATGTCACATGTAAATGTACACTGTACCATGTGGGCATCGCAGCAGGCCTGGTAACAGCTATGGCGACAGGTTTTCCATCTGAGGAAGCTGGTTGGGTTTTTAAAGGTTTAGACCCCCTGATCTGCTGTGACTTTACAGATGCTTCTGTCATCACCTGTGGGCTTCTTGAAGCCACTTTGCGAGTCACCTGTGTTAAAGGAAGAGGAAAGAAGCTGACCAATAAGTTGGAGTTGGTAAGACAGAAGTGAATTCTGACCAGAGAAAACACTGCGCTATTAGCAGGAGAAGAAAAATATTACAGAACATAGATTTGCCAAAGCCTAGATACACGTATGTCTCAAATTTACTACTTTTCCATGGGACTATAGACTTGACCCACAATTAGTGCACAAAGAAAGTCTTTAAGTTCTTTGATCTTTGATGCATCAATCTCCAAAATTTGACAAGTTCTCTGATGGAGTATTTGTGAAACTCTAACACTCCTCTCATTCCCTTTCCTTGGAAAAAAAGTGTTCAATTGTTTGTTTGTTTGTTTGTTTGACAAAAATGGTCATTATCATTAATAGCAGAGAAAACTATGTCTCACCTTGGTCTGTGCCACAGGACCTCCACTAACTCCACCTGATTTGTTATTCCCTTGAGATGAAGCTGCCACAGCATTCCCAGTCCTCTTTTCTTTTTTCTGTTGAGCTGTTGTCAACTGAACAGCTGGTTCTTGGGTTTTTGTTATTACCTTAGCTGAAGCTGACTTTCCTTTAAATCGGGCAAGTCCTTGACCTTTTCTTAGAAATGTTCTTTGGGGTTTTTGAGTTGTACTTTGAGTTTTAGTTGCTGCTTTAGAAGCCTTAATCAAAAACAATTTATGTAATTATCAATAACCAATTTCTGAATGTTGCCATTTGCTACCATAAAAAAGACATGCAAGTTAAATGGAATCACAAAACAGTTACAGGTATGTGGTCATGAAACTAACCTCTGCATCAAGTTTCAGTTGCTCCTCTAAAAGTTCTTCAAAAGTCTTAGCCTGAGATGATCCTCCTATAGAAACAGAAACAAATAATTGAAATTCAAATAGAACTTTTGACAAGAAAAAGCAGTATTAATTGATTCAAAATTTATTTTAAATTCAATGAGACAGTCTGCACTCCCTGTGCAATAGTTTAACGACTCATCGGCACTGGTAGATCCAAATAGAGGGTTGGGGGTGGGGGGACCTCTCCCCTGTGGGTAATTTTTACCACCTGACTGATATGAAAAAATTTCTTAGGATGAAACATAGACCAGAAACAGCAATAGATGGTGTAAATGCACCTTGAACACAAGAAACTAGGTTTTATGGGCATGAAATATTTTTAGAAATGTTCATGGTCTTTGGATCATGTTCATTGGTTTCACCATTTGGATAAAACTTAATGTTGTGTGTCATTTGAACTTTTTAATAGGCCTTGCTTACCATGGAGTCTCTGTGGCTCAGTGGTAGAGCATCAGAGTGTGGAATCCCAAAGGCCTGGGGTTCAATTCCTCATGGGAACTCTGAATTTTTTTTTGTCCCATGCTTGTGACAAGACAAAAAAAGGCATCTTTTTCTATTTCTTTACCAAGCTCAAAACTTACCAACTCTATTATTCTATTAACAAACTTAATATTCTTTAACACTTCATAACTTATACCTATGCCAGGTTTTATTGGCATCTCATCTCCAACTTCAGTCTGACAGTTTTCTTCCATACGTTGTTCATTCTGATTACAGGGGAAAAAAAACAGATGCCATTCATTCATTAATTCTTATTTATTCAAAATAGGGAACAGTGTGTCACAATTTTGTAACACAAAAATTTGAAATGATTCATTTTTGTGCTAGCAAATGCTATCATTATGATATTCTATTGTGCATAATCCATATAGTTCAGTTAACTCCATTCCCATTAAACACAGTCAAATGCAATTTAACAGAGTTAAGAACAAAGATCATCAGTGTTCACTGGTAGTCAGCTGTTTTTGCATAAGCGTATGCACCAGAATAACATGTGCTCTTCTATTAAGGCATTCTTGCATGTGCTTTGAGCCTGAACTTTCAGAATTGTTTGGAGTGGCAGCTCATTGTCTTGGTAGTTTTCCACACCCCTTCCCTCCCTCTTTCCACTGTTTATTCAGTTTGACAGGTACCTGTTTCCATTTCCTGTGAGGGGGCTTATGGCTGGGTTGCCAGGATGTGCCAACCATGGGAGCAATCTCCATCTAAGAGCTAGCTTCCAATAGTGGACGTTCCTGGTTGTCTCAGGCACCCAACCTCCACTTAATGATGCAGTTGTTTAAGAGACAGCAAAAAATTTTTAAGGGAGGGGGGGGAGGGTAGTTCATCATACAAAAGCAGAGCCTGTTCCCCGTTTAAGTTTCCAAAATGACCTTTGTGTAGTTTTCTGCCATTAACAAACTTCTTTGCAAGCATATTAAGTTTTAATTTTTAAGCAAGATGGTGTTTAAAGTAAGTCCCCTTACATATTGTGTTGATAAAGTAAATTGACTGTGGCAAAGAATTTTAAATCTGACATTTAGATCATTAGCCCTTCATCACAATGAACTTAAAACATTGGCTTTAGAATCTCTCTGCAGTGTCAATCTGCATTATCAATCTACATTATCAACTCAGCTAACAAAAGCAATTTCATCTTGGTGAACCCCCCATCAATGCAGCACCAAAGTTTCTTTAAAAACTTACCCCCTTTATCCTGTTACATTATATTAATTGAATATCTCACTAAGACATCCTCATGAAAACTCACCATTTCCGTAGAATCCTGTGATTGAGCCTGTAAGTCTATAACAGATCTATCCCTTTCATTACTTTCCTCTAATTCTTCCTCATCATCTGACTCTGCATCTTTATCATCTTCATCATTTTCATCCTCAATCTCATTAAAGCCCATGTCAGGCTCAGAATCATAGAGAGGGTAAACCCCACTCATAGTGTCTGCTTCGGAGTGTTCATCAACTTGAGAATCTATGTCAGCCACACTTTTTACACCAGCATTGTGACTCCATAACCTCTCTAGATCTGGTGTCATAGCAGGATTTCTATCATACTGAGAGGTATCAATTCTTTCAAGGTTCAGTTCTGGACAGTTATCATTATTTGTTGCAGGATTGTTCTGAAACATATCACCTGGTCTTTGACTTATGACTGGACTTTGAAACTGTGGAGGAATTTTAGTCATCCCAAGGTGGGATAGGGGGTTACTTGTCATTGCTGATCCAATCACAGGCTGTTCTGATATGGGCCTGGTCCCCACCACAGGAGGAATAGTTCTAAGGGGGAAACGGTAATTTGATGAGTTCCACATTACAGGATAAACTGTCTCATTCAAATGAGGCAAACTTTCTTGAAATCTGTCTTTATCATTGACAGAGAATTTTGGATCAGGTTCGCCAAAGTGTTGTGGTCCAGGCTGTCTAGTTTGCATTTCAAAATCCATTTGGCCCATAGCAGAAGAGGGCAATGAAAATGTTGGTATGGATCTTGGAAAACCATCTGAACCATTCCTTACAGGCTCAAAGCCTCCATCTTCAACTTGCACTCTTGACCCCATATCTAAGGGAGCCTGCAATCTCACACTTCCCTGTTGTAGTTGACTTGTGACAGTCACTGATCCTTCTCTGATAGGTTCAGCTTGATTTGAAACAGTTCCTACAAAGTTTGGAGGATATGTTGGGGTACTTGTAGCAGTTTGTCCTTGAAGTTTTCTTTGGGCAGCCAAAATACTTTGAAGTTTGTTTTGTTCCATTCTTAGTGTCTCCATTTGTTGTTGTTGTTGACGGAACATACTCTCCTGCTGTTGTTGTTGCCACTGACGTAGCTTCCTAAACTTATCCACAAGTTGTGCCTGATCATGGGGCCTGTGGTTCTGTGCCTGAGTTGTCATGTTCCTTACCTTTAAAGGCTGCTGAGATTTTGCTATGGAAAAGAAAGGAGAAAGAGAAACAAAAGGTAAACAAAAAATGCATAGGGAATAACTTTGTTGTGTTTCATCAGCTGTTCAACTTAACCCCAGCTTTTTACCTCCGTAGCAATGGGAAGGAGGGGAGGAAGGAGGTATTCTCTCTAGCATTGCTTCTACGAAACCATATTTAAAAGCGCTCTTAGACAAATTTCTACGAAAACTTGATATTGGAAACTAAACAGTGAAGAGGCTTACAAGTGTTACAAAAGAGATGCATTTCTAACTATGTCGCGATTATCGATATTAATGACCAAACATGACAAAATCAACTGTAATATCATTTATCTAGATCATAACGTCCTAGTATTACTACTATTGCCCGTTGACAAACCAACTTTTACATACCGTCGCCTTGATCTAGAGCAAACTTCGGGTCTGCGTTGGATAACGGAACCTCTCTCTGCAGACCTCTCTCCTTTAAATATTTTGTCAAGAAAGGATTATTTTCCTTTTGCGAAGTATCATCGGCGATCGCTTTGAAACTTTCCATACTTCATGTGATCAGCCTTAGCTGAGGTGTAATCCAGCTCATTTTGTAAATTCCAGTGCATCGCGAAAGATCGCCATGTGGAATTTAAAATTCAGTCTGTAGTGGTGAGTGAAAAACAACTCGATCTATCCGAGGACTTCACAACTTCTTTTTAGACGACAACTGGCAGGTATTGAGCGTTTTAAGTTACAGGAATCTATTGAGGCGAAACCACATTGGAATTTGCATGAAAGGAACGCGCCATTTTTCAAAGTTTACAATACGAGCAAGTCTATCAATTGGCATGCGCTCGAATAAATCCGCTGACTATCGTGATTGTGGTTTCAGACATGGCGAAGGAGGCGACTTCGGGGAAACTCGTAGATCTTTTGAAGAAGGAACTTAAATGCGAAAAATGTGAATCTTTAGGCTTTGCAAGTGGTGGCTGTATTAGTGAGGGAAAAAGTTTTGACACTGACAATGGAAAGATTTTTGTCAAAGTGAATACCAAGTCGGAGGTATTGGTTCGTAAACAATGATCCAGGGAATCACCCTTCCTGAAGCTTACGATCAAAATAAATATTTCAACGGATCGATATTTATTTATGCTTTCTTTTAGGCGGGAGAAATGTTCGAAGGTGAATTCCAGAGCCTTGAGGAAATTTGTAGGACGGATACTTTGCGAGTACCTAGGCCAATAAAGGTTATTTTTTTTACATGAGCAAGATTATTTCTTATTAAATTTTTAAAGTCAGTTTAATTTTACGTTGTTTCTTTCACAAATCGCTCCAGTTGTTGGGTTAGGGTGCAACAGTATGATGTTTTCTTTTCTCTGCATTTTAGGTGTTACCTCATCCATCTGGAAGTGGGGCAGTTTTTGTTGCAGAACATCTTGAGATGAAAAGCTTGAGAAAATACCAGTCACAGATAGGGACAGACCTTGCAAGGTTAATGTTAAATTTTTATCCTTGATTGAAAATTTCATTGCAGGAATGTTCTCCTTGCTTCAAGAATGCTAATAATATTTTCTTTTATAACTACTTGTTACAAATCTTCTGATATATATCAAATAATCTTTGACACACCCTTTAGGCTTCATCTGGACAATATAAACAAATTGGAAAAAGAAACATCAGAGGAGAACAAGATTGGAAAGAGTCATAAACCAACTACGGTTGTAAAATTTGGCTTCCCATGCACCACTTGCTGTGGTTATATCGGTCAAGACAATGAATGGCATGACGATTGGGTGGTGAGTGTGACCAGTAATTTACAATGTTTAGTGACTCTTCTTCAGTCATATTACTGACATTACCTTGAGATGAGCTTTTAAAATACTCTTTCCCATAGACTTTTTACACCAGATGTCGCTTACAACTTCAGATGGATCTTATTGACAAGCAGGTAAGTGAGGTTCATGGTATCAGCCAGCACATCTCTCTACAACTGTTAATTAATGAAAATAAATGTACTCACTGTCATGAGTACAAGACAAGGAATAGATTTAAGTCACTTACCAGGAATTCAACCCCAGACTCTCAGATCTTGGGTTCTGATCCTTTACCTTGCCTATAGAGAACTCAGTTGTGAGTTAAGCCACTAGTGGGCTCATGAAAAATCAACTACTCATAACAGATCAGTGTAATAGAGGAGAGATAAAAGGAAATTAGACATTTTTTTTTCTCCCAATGTACTGACACAACATCTTGAACATTGCTGATTGTAGCAATAATACAGGATCAGCTATGCTTGTTACACATGAACCTTACGCTAAGGCTCAAGCTCACCATAGAGTTTCTCTGTATCTCAGTAGTAGAGCATAGGAGAGTGGAGGTCTGGGGCTCAATACCTTGTGGAGGATTCTTTGCTGTGTCCCATGCCCTTGACAAATAACTTTGTAATGGTTGCTATGCTCTGATTAAGTAATAAACTTTAAATTGAGTTTGTTTTTTTTATTATCATGTTATTATCATGCAGTATGGTGACACAGAAACCAGATCCCTTTGGTCAAGACTTCAGCTCAAAATACCTGAGTTTTTCGAAGGCATGGACATCAAACCTTCTCTACTCCATGGTGACCTCTGGAGTGGAAATACAGCAGAAACAGAGGATGGTCCAGGTTAGCTTGTATTTTCAGCTAATTCTTAGTAATGTTTTGAATTTGTTAAATTATTATTTAACAATGCTAAATGTAGTTTACATAGGTGAGATTTAACTCTTGGGAATGCTAGCAAGCATTTTTGGGTCCTTAATATGTGGGACAGTCTAAAGGCTTCACAAGGCCCAAGTATTTCTTATAGCATTCTGTTGGGTGTCAAGCTATATTCATTTGCTCATGTTTCCTTCAATGCTCAGTGACTGACAGCCTTTGTCATCCCATTCCTCTCCTTCCTTGTCAGTGGGTACTGGTTAGGAATGTTAATAAATTTCCCCACTGAGATCCTCAGTATGACTCTGCCTGCCTGATGAACTCACAGTGTTGCCTTGGCTACCTTATTCACACACACTTCCCAGTCACTTTTTCCACACTTATGTATTAGTTTACTCCACCCAGTTTTGTTCTATAACTTCAACAAATTATTAATATTTATTAATCTAATTGTTTATTTAATATTCAAGTTGATATTTATACAATATTTTTTTTAGTTAAGCAACTCATGTTGATAATGATAAAATTTTATTGCTGACAATGACATTATCTATTATTACTGTTGTAAAGTCCAGAACCCTTTGACCCCAAAGACTGATGAGTATCTAATTTCTCCTTACATCATCACCCCTGAATCACACATTAAAGTCACAAGAATAACAGAAATGATCACAAACTTAAGAAGCTCTTTATTGTTAACAAATTCTCCTTTTCAGCACCTCAGGAAAGATGAGGAGAACAGTATGGAGAATATGCATACTGATATTAGGGTGTAAAGGGTTAAACAGAGACTGAGGTGAGGCTACATGATTGGTCTGCTCTCTTGCAGTTGCATTTGATCCAGCATCTTCCTATGGTCATCATGAGTTTGATTTAGCAATAGCAGGAATGTTTGGTGGTTTCTCCAAGGCCTTCTATGATGCATATCACAAACTGATACCAAAAGAAAAAGGATTTGAGGAAAGGCACCAGCTTTATTTATTGTTTCATCATTTAAATCATTGGTAAGTAACTTACTTTTGATCAATTTTGTATTTCAGTAGACATACCTTCATTTAGCTTCTCCATGTTTCATTGTTTGTTTTGTTTTGTTTTTTTCCCACTCCAAACAATTGGCAAATATTTGATCATGAAAAACAAGGTGTGTAAAGTTTGGAAGTGGAATATTAAAAAAAAATTAGACAATACAAATATAAAGAAGAGAGGTATTTGACACAGTCATTGACAACATTAAAAAAGCACTGGGTAATCTTGAAACTTTCCACTTTTACTGTGTTCTGACCAAAATGCATCCATGACACATTTACTCTTCAATCCTTACAATCTGTTTTTGCATGGTTTTCAAGTTGGCTTTCAATGACAACAAAAAGCAGTAAGAGGCTAGCTTGTGTCTCTCTGCTTCACCACCCATGTCACATGGTCATTGGGATTGGGTGCAAGAACTAGTCTCTATGTAAGCTACAACACACTTGCAGTCTGTAATTTAATTCTCATACTCAGAGTTTAAATGGAGTTTAAATTACCTGCAAAGGCAATTCGAATATGTGTTTGGAAAAGGGGGGAGGGATAGGGGTCGGGGTATATTGCCAATGAATACCATTTATTACCATAATGTGGAAAAGGTGGGAGGGGTAGGGGTCAGGGTATATTGCCAATTATTACCATAATGCAATGTGGTCATCTAAACCTTTTTACTTCAAAACAGTTGGATATCATTAATAATGTGGAGTTGCTCATTTTACAGGAATCACTTTGGGACAAGTTACAAATCATCATCTTTATCAATTATGCACGGACTTCTTGGGAATAGTTAGAACCAAATGTACAACAGAACTTATGAATTTTGTGAAATAAAATCAAGTAATTTTGAGTTTTTGGTTATGTTTGGTACATTAAAAGAATACACTTGATTTAATTATACCCATACTGTATTATGCTTAAGTTTCAGATTATTCCATACAGATATATGCATCTCACAAACTATGCTATGTAAACATAATTGTTAAAATTATTTAGGTGATTTTTTAAAAAGTATTTATAGACTGATACCAAGTTGTCTCTAATAGGCCATTTTACAGCTGTGTACTAACTTGCCTAGCCTTTGATTTGGAGTGAGGCTGAAGTTGACCATGTTGTGATGGAGACCAGTATCTAGTTAGCATGATAACAAAACCATTTACATTTGAAAAGCAGCAGAGTTTGTATCATAGCAAGGTCACCCATAGCCTCACTCCTGTTCAAAGGCTTGGCAACCAAGCACGTAACTATAAAATGGACTGTTGGTCTGCAAGTCTGAAATCATGACCAGCCTGGTTGTTGGTGTCGTTGCATGTTCTTGAAAATCAAAACATGTCATCCAGATCATTCAAAGAAACATCTTCAAACCTTTCCAGTATTTTAATTTTCTGCAGAGTAAAAATTTAATGTCCTGGACTTTTTGGTGACAAAATTGTTCCTCCTCATAACTGAAACAAACAGGTCTAATTGTGCACTTAGTGCTTGTATAGGAGACATAATTTTGGTTCCTATGGAGAAAGAGGAGTGCATCACACTTGTGCAGGAAAAAGGAGCATAAAAGACAACTGAGCACAAGTCAGCTACTTGGAAATCATCTTAAAGCATGAGTCATGCAAAATTAAATATTATTACATAAATCAATAGTTGGTCAAAATTTTGCCAAATGAACCATTTCTACAAAACAGTCCTAAGCCGTGTATCTTTGTTCTCAAAAGCCAGCAAATTCAAAATAAACAAGTTTGGTTTAAGAGCCACATTATAGACTACTTACTAACCTCACTTGCTTGAGCCATACTGGGGAATATTGCACTAAGGTTTAAGTACTTCCACAACCTCATGCCAATGCCCCCCAGTATGGCCCTTAAGCTTGGTAAGTAAGAAATTACTATCACTCTGCTCAGTGAACATATGCACAATTATATGACCACCAACTTCTCCAGGTGTAAATGAAGGCATCAACCAGACTTCTAAACTGCAGTTTGCAGGTTCTCTTAGTATATATAATTCTGTTTTCAGCCAACTTTGACAGATCAACGAAAAATTCAAAACTTTTCCCCACAGCATTATCACTTGTTTTGGCTTTAGCGTTATCTAACAAAGCATTTAATTTACTTGGTATAAAAATAAACAGGCTTCCTGAAAGATAGCTATATCTACCACTTAAATAGTGTACAGGTCACAATCACCATTTGGGATTAATACACAACAAAAACACATGAAACATTTATGATCTATGTTTAAATCATCGATTATGTAAGTACTGATGTCAATGAATATAATATCATAATTCCTATCATCTCATCTCATTCAATTCACTCATCAAAAACATTGGTAAGAGCATCTAAAAAAAAATATGATGAACCCAAAATGTAATAATATTATATTAAATCATATCCCTATATTAATGAATTATGACTTCTGTGCACGCTTGCTTGCCAAGTAGATGTTCCAAACAAATGCCATCAGGTTTCCACAGAGAACTCTATACTAAAAACACAAATTTCAAACCATTTGATTATTTATAAATTCCACCTTGTAGAACTCATTGCTGCATTCAAACTTGCTATTTTCAAGCAGGCAGGGGAGATAAGTTGATAACCATTGAACATAATAAGCTCTAGGGCTGTTACTACAGGGAAGTTAAATGGTAAAGATATTGATAAAGAGTTAAATGATATTTTCCTTTTGTTCCCTTTTCTCCTCTGTTTCTTGTCCTTTCCTTTTTTTAATTTAATTTTAATGCTTTGACTATAGTTTCTGTGGGAGACACAATGGCCTAACAGTTAACCCTTTGACTCCTCAGAGTGACCAGCTTCTAATTTCTCCTTACATATCATCCATAAATCAAACATTAAGGTCATGAGAATCAAAGAAATGATCACCAACTTATAAAGCTCTTGATTTTTTTTACACAAATTCTCCTTGTCCGCACCCTTGGAAATGTATAGAAAACAGTATGGAGAATATGCACACTGATGTTAAAGTGCAAAGAGTTAATGCACTGGATTCTGAGTCAAGAGGTCTGGGCAAGAGATTTGGCTGGGACAGTGTGTTGTGTTCTCGAGCACGACAACACATTGGCAAGACTGGCATCCCATCCAGGGGGAGGGGAGGGGGAATTTAAGACTTCTTGTCCCTTCATGCTACAGAAACTGGGATAAGTTGCTGCTGTATAGGCCACTTGCCTTGTGTACAGACTTTACCTATGTTCCATTCCCAATTGGAGTTTGAACAAGGATTTAGCTGATCCTAATATCACCAGTAATAATAAATTTTCATTACCTGTCTGGGTACATAGTTGAGATTGACATACTGAAACACAATCCACACTCTCCAACTCATTTTCAGTGCCGTCCAGTAAGTTTCGCGTATTTTCATTATTGCTTCTCTATGAGACTTCCCCTGCGCACGACAAAACAAAAAGCCTTTCATAGTCAAGACCTTGCCATCTTCTTTGATCAGGAGTGAAGCAAGAAAAAAGAAAACTTAACTGGATCCTAACCTAGGAGCAGGCCCTCATTACATGTATTTACAAGACACACCCTTCTCTGCCTACAAGTAGATTTGAGAGGAGTCATGAAGAGGTTTTCCAGGGTTCTGGCATAGATAATCAGTGTGACACCCCTGCCAGACCTCTTGCTGACTCCCTTGAGACATCATATTTTCACACAGGCAAAGAAACCTTTGTACCAAGGGACTAATAATGCGGCCCTTTGCACAGCCTAACTGGATCCAATCTGGATTATAATATCTTATACTAAATATTAATTCTGGGTTTTCCATATCTCTCATTTAACATATACATTGTGATTAGTTAATTTAGTGGGCCGTATTCTTCTGTATGGCCTACTTATTACTTTAGGCCATTTTTGTTCTTCATTTCAGTAAGAAAAATGAATTGAATCTTTACAGGGCCATAATTGGTCCATTTAATGGGCCAGAATTTCACTATACAGCTCACTCAATTCATAGTTTGTTTGAAGTGAAATCTAACCCCTCTATTTGAACACAGGGATGTAATAAATGTCTCATTACCTTTGTTTCTGGGTTTGTACCATAAGTTACAGTATGGCCTACACACTTTGTGCTTAGGCCATCGAGTGGAAAAAACTGGGTCCGAAACTTACAGTATGAACCTTGAAACTCAGTTGTAAGAGGTCTTAATTACTAGTTGCACTTATTGAAAGGGTCTGGCCCTGACATTTAAAATAGCTAACCCTATACAACATAACTGCAGAATAAGCTTACCTCTAGGATTGCAACAACATAAAAGAACACCAACAAAAACACAGGGCTGAATATGCCTCTGTCAACAAACAATCTTTTGGCTTTTGCATAGGAAACCTGCCTAGGTACTAGTTTGTCCAAAGCCTCATAGAAATAGTGTATGAGAGGACCAGTTGCACAAAACCTGTTACAAAAGAAAAGAAAACAAGAGAAAAAATAATTTGGCTCTTTGGCAAAAGAAAAACAAACTATTTCCCCTTCCTGATATTTTTCAATCTTCTTGTCACCTATCTACTTGCTTATGTATGGATGTTTGTGGAGAAATCAAAGGATAGCCACTCTGATCAGCACCTAATTTCTCCTTACAGTTACACCGCTAAATCATTCATTACAATGATGAAAACGAAGGAAATGATTGCCAACCTAGGAAGTTTTGATTGTTAAACTCTCCTTATCAGCACCAAAGGAAATGTATGGAAAATAGTTTGGAGGATATGGATACTGATGTTAGGGTGTAAAGGGTAACTCCTCTACTTCTTGTATTGAGTAAAAACATTGCTGTTTATCACATGGTACTCACCCAAATGCGGCAAAGGCTATAACGGGTCGGTACTCAACAAGTCTACCTGTCCCACGTTTGACAATCTTTTGAGAGACAAGATTGCCAAGACCAGCTGTAAGGCCACTGTAAAGATGGAAATTTTGAAAGGACGCATTAGAATGCTTTAACTATATCTATGGGAGGTTCAGTTGTCCAGCTGGAGGGGGAGAATTGACATTCAGATCTCAGAAGTTAAAGGGATCACTTGAGCTTTAAAATCAGGTCGGCAACATGCTAGTCTTCAGAGAATGACAAGTGCAGGTTAATGTATCCTCGAGCCGAAAGTCTCCTCCTGCTCGCGGGATAACTGCGCGAGCGCACAGGCAGAATTATGTCATTACATCGCACGCAGTATGCAGCTATAAAACCGAGAGCCAGCACTGCAACCAAGCACGAATGAGTTGCACGCATTCCTTATATTTCATACAGTGCAAGTGGCTAAGGCTGGTCCAATACCTCAACGTACAATCGATGTTGTTCGGTTCTACATGAAACCTAGGAAACTTATTGAGTGGAAGGTGATTCAATGATAGAGTCATGATATATGAGCGACTGAATATGCGAATCGAAAAAAAGTAACACATTTTTCATCACCTTGTGACGCTCTTCGTCAATATTGGATGCTCCATGATACAATGGTTGTAGCGCGTGACAAGCTGGGACAAAATGCTTTCGATCTTTTTTTCGTCGCGGGATTTATCGGAAGAACCCTCCATTTTGGATTAGTTTAGAACTCAAAACTAGAGGGGTGGACTGGGAGTAAAATTGTATTGGTACCCAATCTTTTGACAGGAGCCTGGGGAAGAAAACACTGACAACGTGTTTTGGCATCAAGCGTGGTTTCTCCACAGAATTTTGTCTTTCCAATCATCTTTGTGATGAATAAGGAGTGAGATATGCAATCGAAGACTTGTGAAGTCTGTAAAGAAGCCTGCCACAAGTACAAATGCCCATCCTGCAGTACGAAGTAGTAAGTAAACATGCAAGAAATTCTTGATATTTCCAATACTTTGACTCGTGCTCCAAATATTTATAACTAAGCTACTTAATCTAGACTTACCCCGGAAAAATTTCCGCACAAGCCCATACTTCATTATGCATGCACATCTTATTGGTTTTGCACTGAATAATAAATCCTCGTATATGGATGCATGATGAAGTATGGGGTTGTGCGGAAATTTTGCCCTTACCCCTTTCACCCAATATCACCTTGTTGATCTTCTCCTTACTTTTTGCCATGCAATTCTTCGAATGTTCGTTCAGAGAATTTGGTTTTGGATCAATTTTTTTCCCTTGTTGATGTTTTTCTTTATTCTTTTCACTTGCTTGTCTGGTTGATTGTAAGGAGAAATTCTGTCTTGGTCACTCATGGGAGTTAAGCAATTATTGATTTTTTTTCCGTTTTTTAGTTGCTCTCTTTCCTGTTTCAAGGCTCATAAAGGTATGATACAAGGAGCCTTTCCTTTTTATTATTACTTCTATGAATGTGAGAGTTCCAACATTGCTCTTGTCACAATTAATTGAGTATATAGTCACAAAACTCTTTTTGTCGCAGGATGATTATATCTTGTTTCCTTATGAGCCACTGGTGTATTGAGTAAGAACAGATCAGATGGAGTGGTTGTGTGCCACCCTCAGCTAACCTGAATAGAAGAGTTTTATTTTCTATGAATAGCTTAAGAAACAGGATTTTTTTTTCTGAAATATCACATATTTTGGGAGGGTGTTGGGACCTGAAAAAAGAACTTCATCTGGTGATTAACTTTGCGCCAAGTTTAACCCTTTACACTCTAACATTAATATGCATATTCTCCATACTGTTCTCCATACATTTCATAGGGTGTTGACAAGGAGAATTTCTTTAATAATCAAGAGGTTCTTAAATTGGTGATCATTTCCTTTATTTTCCCGATGACCAGCACATATTGATAAAGTTAAGCTTTACACCCATTTTCTTAGCTGTTGTGGTATCAACGTTCCCCTTTTGCAGATGACATTTGTGAAAGAGAAACCAACAGAAGAAAAGAAGAGAAATTAGAAGAAAATGAAAGAAACTTAAGAACCATATCACTAGCCAAGAAAGGTGCAAGATGATTTTTATTCATTTAAAATCAAGATTTTAAAATTTGCCCAAAAAAGCTAGTTCATCAATTAAAAATATTTTCATTTGTAGAAACAGAGGAAGGAGAAATCACAGAGAGTGATTCCAGTGAAAGATCAGATGATGAAGACAGGATCAGTAAAAATGTTTTGGATAAACTAGGTAACTACCTCTCTTGATAATGCATAAGCTTCTATACACCGAAATATCACTTACGCCCTCCCCGCAAGGAAACTGAGGAGATGCAATGACCTTACTGTTAGTGCTCTGGTCTCCAGGATAAGAGGTCCGCATCAGAGTGGGTAATTATATTGTTTTGTTGGGCAAGACTCTCTACTTTCACAGTGCCTCTCTTCAATAGGGAGCATAAATGAGTACCAGAGAACTGTTGGCGTAAGGGAAACCTGTTTAAATGCTTGGGGGAATAGGTGTTAAAATGTTTCGATGAGCTGGCATGCCATCCTGCTTCTTAATCCCAAGGGTCCTCTCTCTTACTCCCTCAAGAAAGGACCCTGATTGTGGCTGGTTGTGTCTCCCTGATTTTGTGAGATTAAGACAAAAGAAAACAGCACCAAAAAATGCTTAAGCATAAAATTTTTCATAAATACCAACTGGACAGTTAAAGGAAACTTTTTTAAGAGGCACTCATGATTTTTCCTTCCTGGCGATATAATTTAATTGCACTGATGACAAAATCAAGTCAAGGACCCACATTTCCCTATGGCATTCTTTGGACTGCAAGTAGGCACATGACCAGCCGCAACTAGGGTCCTTCCTTAAGGGAGGAAGAGAGGACTTTAGGGAGGAGATTGCTAATGCAAAGGGAGAAGAGATACTCTTGGTCACTTCATCTCCCTGTCCTTCCTCATACAGTGTTGAGAGAAGAGGTAACAGCAAGAGCTACAAATCAGTTTCTACCATAATTGCCAGTAATGTTGTAATCTGATTAGCCAATTTGCCATTGTTGATAGGGGTAGAAACAATGTTGCTTGCATCAAGGTGTCACACAATGCCTTTATCAGCTCTCAATCATGGACAACATGCAAATTTTGACATCGATGTTGTGGTAAAAAAAACAAGTCAACCAGTCTAGAGACCATGCTAAACCAGTGTCGATTTGTTAATTTTGCAAAGTGAAAGGGAAGAATAAAACCAGTAATAGAGATCCCTGAGTTGTCATTCCTTTTGCCAGAGTGTTCATAACACTTGTATTGATTGTTTTTTTTTTTTTTTTAAAGACGGTATAGTAAAAAAATGACTCTTGATAGTTTGAGCTGTACTAAGCATGATAACAGTTCAGGTGTCACCCAAGGATTTGTTTGCATTCTCTGTCAGGTCACTCACAAAAACTGAGCAGCATGCTTCATAACAAACATCTGCGAAAAATGATCAAAGGAATCGATGCTTCAGAAGATCCTGGCAAACTTCTCGGGCAAGCTATGCAAATACCTATTTTTACAGAGTTTGTGGATGAATGTTTGAGGATAGTGGAACCACAAAATGAAGAAGAAATGGAACAGGACTGAAGTTTGTAACTAGAAGGTGGAATGCACCTTCCAGCTGAGAAAACTTAGGCAAATGCTATACCACAGTTTGGTATTCAATCAAATCATCAGAACACTATTTGAACTATTTTATTTTTTTAATCCACTTGCTGGAAATGGGAATCTGGATGTGGGTAACTTTATTTTAAGCAAATTCAATTTTCTTGTGTCAGAACAAGTCTGAATCAGTTAAGAACAAATTTTGATTTTTTGTTGTTAAAGTGAAACTAAACTTATCACATACAGTTCACTATGTCAGACTAAAGCAAAATGTCATCAGCAACCAGAATTTGAACTACTGGTAAATGTAAAAGAGAAAAAAAAAGTAAACTGTCCAGAGATTCTCCTTACTGTCTGCAATTCAACTATTGTGATTTTAAATTGGAGAATTTTGCATTGGATAAACTAATCATCCCCC